TAAAGATGAAGGTTATGTACTATTTGTTCAATTGCAATATAACTAATGGAAGCCTTTGATATAAGTACTTTTAATCCATGGTATTGTATTATTCATGATACTATGTGAATAAATACTATATTTTGTTTTTTTTAAATTTTTAATTGCATTTTGAATGTGTAGGAATATGCGGGTGGTGCAATTTAAATGGTGGTCACAAGTCAATTTGATCTATAAAAGTGAATGATGAAGACTATTTGAGCAATTGTGATGTTTGAATACATTTGATTTGTGGAGTTCATTCCTAGTGAACATCTTGAAATATTGCTTTATTAGTATGTGTAGTAATACGAAATATGTTTTATTTCGATGTGTATTGCAAATATAAGCATTTGAATTATTATTACTTAGTGCTTGAGATCATCAAAATAGAAGAATAGTGTATTTCAAGTAAATGTGAATACATGATATATGAAAAAATATGTTATTATTCAACCAAAAAATTGTGGCGTATAAATATTTTATAGCCTAGACAAAATTGCAACACTTCATAAGTGTAGCTATAGGGATGTCAATTATGTGGCCAAATGGTTGTAGAGTGGCATGTACATTAACAAAGGCTACACTTCAGAAGTGTTACGTCAGAAGTCACACTCTAAAAGCATGGCCTATAAGGTAGCACATGCCACGCTTCATACATGTAGCTTTAGGATATAAAAAATGTTGCCATATGAGGTACTATAAAGCGTGACTTTTGTATCTTGTAGGTCACACTTTCAAGGTGTGGCTTCTAAAGCAACACTTGAAAAGCGTGGGTTTAGGGAAAAGGTTACGCTAGTTTAGACCACCCTCCGAAAAGTGTTGCCTAAAAGTGAAAAGTATGGCCTTTGATCAAATGTCACACTTCTTGATAGTTTGGGCCACACTTTACAGGGGTGGTTAATGGCCTAAAATGTTGTAGTGTATTTACTGGACAGATACAATAATGAGAACAGGCAAGAAGAACAAGAGTATTCAACAATGTTTCGAACTCCAAATACTATAGAAAACAGTACTAATAGTCTAATACTTCAATAAAAGTTATCCAAAATCAAGAAACGAAAATAAAAATCATAAAATATGAGCACAAAATAAAGAATCTTTAGCAATCAAAATTCCTATATGAAGATGAATTTTGTTATAGAAACCTATTCTATAAGACTTACGCTAGGAGTAAGGTCTATGAAATGAAAACTTTAAGACAATGAACTTAAGAGTGTGGCTGAGAGGGAATATGAGAGAATGAAGCCGTATATGTATGTATATACTTAAGGATAAATTCGTAATTTTATTAATTCTTATTGGGTTATCGATTAACCCATTAACAAAATTGACAAACCGAGGCCCGAACCGATAACCCAATAGTGAAAAAATTCTAAACCGTTACCGAACTGTTAACCCAATAACCCGATACCGATAACCCAATAATCTTTTTTCGGTTCGGGCTATCGATTTTACCCGATATATGCCCAGCCCTACTCATAGGTAAATTATTACAGAAAATGAAAAGTCAGGAAATAGTCAGAATTATTTTTAATAGAAAGGTTAAAAAAATGTAATGCTCAAGCTAACAGGAGAAATCATAACATAAGGTCCAAGAAGTAAATTTTTGTTATCTTCTAGATGAATGCGACTGACATGAAGACTTACAATTGTAGATATGATCATACAGAAGCAATATCGATTTGCCACAGTTGGTTAAGCTGCAAAATAAATTAACACACTAATTATTATTTGGCCCAAAAGTAAGTTAATACTTTCTAAGCAAATCAATCAATGTAGATGAAGGGGTAAATCGTAGTCAACATTAATTGATACTGGATCGAAGAACACAATCATACAGATAAAAGAATCAATTAAAACGACACCTGGAAGACTTTTATTGGTAATAGAAATTCGGCCTGCCTCTCCTTGAAGAGGTTCAGGAGATTACAATCAAATTCTTTTTTTTCTCCTTGGAGGTGGAATCTCATTTCCTAAGATTGTTTCCTCTGCTTGTCTTGCTTGGAGCCCCCCCCCCCCGTTACCCGGTTTACGGTTTCCTTCCTTTCCTTCTTTAATTTACGTACCGAACCC